AAACCATTTCAGGTGACTACCTCTTGAAGCTCATGGAGAGAATGCCAAGAGTGTGCAAAGCAGTAATCAGAGCAAAGGGTGGCTATTTTGAAGAAACTAGAATATAAAACATGTTTTCAGTTATTTCACCTTTTTTTGTTAAGTACATAACTCCACATGTGTTCATTCATAGTTTTGATGCCTTCAGTGAGAATCTACAATGTAAATAGTAATGAAAATAAAGAAAACGCATTGAATGAGAAGGTGTGTCCAAACTTTTGGCCTGTACTGTACATATAAGTTCGAAGAGATAAACAGAAGACAAAGACGATAAACAACAACAAGGTGCAAAAGCATAGAGCAAAACATAGAAAAAAAGAAAAAAAGGGGGGTACATGAGAAACAGAGAACGAAAAGCTAATGTTTAAAGGTTAAAAGCGGATTTGAAAAGGTGGGTTTTAAGGAGTGATTTGAAGGTGGATGGATTTGAACAGTCACGGATGTGTATAGGGAGGGTGTTCCAGAGGGAGGGGGCGGCTATTGAGAAGGCTCTGTTGCCCCAGGTTCAGTGCTTGGTCCTGTGTGGAGGCGAGAGGAGGTTTTTGTCGGATGATCGAAGGTTGCGGGAGGGAGTGTGGTGGTGGAGCATGTCCGTGAGGTAGGGTGAGGAGGAGGATCTTGAAGTTGATTCTGTACAGGACAGGGAGCCAGTGTAGGTTTTGCAGGACAAGGGTTATATGTTCACGGGAGCGGGTGTGGGTGAGGAGGCGGGCAGCAGAGTTCTGGATGTACTGGAGTTTGTTGAGGACTTTGGATGATGAGCTGTAGAGGATGATGTTGCAGTAGTCGAGTCTTGAGGTGATGAAAGCATGGATGAGAGTTTCAGCGGCAGAGAAGGAGAGTAATGGACGGAGACGGGCAATATTTCTGAGGTGAAAGAAGGCAGTTTGGGTGAGGCGGTTGATGTGATGTTCAAATGAGAGGTTATTGTCGAAGATGATACCAAGGTTGCAGATGAATGGGGAGGGAGAGAGGGTGGTGTTGTCGATGCTGAGGGTGAAGTTTTGTGTTGATGTAGAGAGGGATTTTGGGCCAATGAGTATTATTTCAGATTTGTCACAGTTCAGTTTGAGGAGGTTGGTTTGCAGCCATGATTGGAGTTCAGTCAGACAGTTGGGCGTGTGGCCGGGGTGATGGATTTTGTGGAGATGCAGATTTGGATGTTGTCAGCGTAGCAGTGGAAATGGAGACCATGACGACGAATGATAGAAGGGGGGGGACCAAGGGGGAGTAAGTGTTTCCTGTACATGGCAGCAATGCCACCACCCGTCCGTTTGGGCGGGGTTTGTCGGTGTAGGTGTAGTCAGTGGGTGTGGTCTGGTTTAAGGAGAAGTAATCCAGGTTTCGGTGAGGCAGAGGAAGTCCAGTTTGTTGTCAGTGATGAATTCATGTAGGATGGCACTTTTGTTGGTCAGTGAGCGGGTGTTGAGTAGAGCCAGTTTCAGATGTTGTTGGGTTTGAGCAGCACAGGGGGTGGCAGGAATGCAGAAGATGGGGCATGAGTTTTTGTTTTTCACAGTCTTAGTGCAGTAAGGGCGGGGTGGTCTGAGCTTTATGATGGAAGGAATGGATGGAGGGAATGTCTCAGGTGGGAAGGTTAATGATAGATATGGTCGGACGGGGGCGCTGGTGAGTGGGGCTGTGCTGTTTGCACGGGGAGAGGAAGAGTGTCAGTGGAGGGGGCGTGTGATGTAAATAGTCATGCATGTGGCACATGATGTACAGCATGCTAAATATTGACTGCCAGCATGCGGCTTCCCAGGGTGGTAAGGAGAATGCCATCGTATTTGAAGAAAGAGGGACAGTTCCAGAAAAGATTAAAATTGTCCAC